CCCCCTTTCAAAAACAGCTGCTGCCCCCATCCCTGTGCCTGCATTTTCCATATAAGATCCATTATCAACATTTTCAATGGGCAGTATCAATGTTTGCGTGCACCCAAGAGGGGGGAAATAAAGGTTTACCTATGCACATAGAGATCACTCCAAAGCGGCAGTCCCTCCCACGACGCTTCATCTCATGCAATAAAGTGGCAACCGCACGTGCACCTGCAACAATCAAATGAGGTTTCAATACACACCAAAAAACAGAGTAGTACAGTCAATGCTAAGTAGAAAATATAATACCTGTTGCACCAAGTGGATGCCCAATGGCAAGTGCACCTCCATTCACATTGATCTTTTCTGGATCAAGTCCCAACTTGTTACGGCAATATACATATTGGGATGCAAAAGCCTGCACAGTTGAGCATTTTCTATGTCATTTTATATTCACAGGGCCTAAAATCATACGTAGAAACTTAACTGCAATTTAATACCTCATTTATCTCAAAAAGATCAATATCATCAAGCTCTAAACCAGCAGCCTTGACTGCAGCTGGAATAGCAACAGCTGGACCAACACCCATGATGGCTGGATCCACACCAACAGCAGAGAAACTCCTGCACAATGAAGAAGAGGGCAATATTTATAACATTCAAACACTCTTGTCAGATATTTCAGATTAGCCTGGGAGGCAACACATTAAAACAGATGATAACATCGAGGAAAATATTGAGAAAACTTCATTCTCTTTGCCAACTATGATACCACACTACAAGGTCGTAAGTACAAAGGAATTGTAGATCCCATGTCAATAGGGAAACCCCGAAATGCTACGATCCTTTTGATCATCGGCTTTCTTTTTTTGGTCCATAGATCCTTTTGATTTGCTTAAAGTGAAAGAAACTTATTCTATTGCACAAGTACAAAGACCCAAGTAATATAGTATACCAAAGAAAAATTGATTGTCTGAACATCATGGTTCAAAGCTTTGGAGTAGATATTAGGAAGCAAGTTTATAAAGCATGCTGATAGCAATAAACAAATGAACCCCAAGGTGTTCATCAGAGGTATGGACAAGTTTCTGGATACTGAGGCCTACCAAGATAAGACTTCTTAGCATACATGTTGAAAAACCAAGGGAATATTGGAATCGACAAATCTGTAGCCTGCCATGGCAAACTCAATTCCCTCCTGTCAAATAGATGCACGACATCAAGGAATTGCATACCTGAATACACCAAGAATTGGCAATCCTTTTCGCTCAGCAATACTTCTCTTCATCAAGAGAACAGCTCCAGCACCATCACTAACTTGACTAGAGTTACCTAAACGGATGCACCGAATATGAAATGAAATGGATTCAATAATGCGATACTGTATTTTAGAAAAGGAAATGATGCATCATCAGTAAAAACATACCAGCAGTGGTGCTCCCATCTTTCTTAAACACAGGCTTCAACTTTGCCAGGTCTGCCAATGTTGTGTTCCGAATCCCATCATCAACAGAGATTGTAACAGGTTTCTCCTCACCAGATTTAGGGTCAACAATCTATTTTAATTCAATGAAATCAGTAATACATAAAAGATCAGGCGTGCCCTTGCGCACGTGCATGCAAACATTATCTGCCAAATCTGCAATCAAATTTTATATTACCTTGGTCGCCACAGGGATGATTTCATCTTTAAATTTACCAGTGGCAGTAGCAGCAGCTGCCTTCCTATGAGAGTCGACCTAACAACATATAATTAACAAAATCACTAACACAGACAAACCAGAGTACAATTTAATACCAGACTGACAGATTTATCCAACTTACAGCAGCTTGATCTTGCTCCTGCCTAGAAACACCAAAGCGATGCGCAACATTTTCTGAGGTGACTCCCATAGGAAGAAGGCAATTCTGGGCCTGTTCAAAGATCTTCACCTGACCACAGTGCAAATTTTCAGTAGACTCTTAGAACCCTGTCAAAAATAGCATTTCTGCAAGAAAATATGTTTCTAAAAGAAAAACAAGTGCAAGAAGAATGTGTACTTTAGGATTAACTGATCCTTCCCATGCCATTGGATTTGCGGTCATGGATTCCAACCCAGCTCCAATTCCTGTATGAAATAATCCGAGAAAAAGGGAAATTAAAGCTAAGGATACTTGTCTGAAGTGAACTAGTTCTGAGACAATTTGAAAAAAAAAAAAAAAAAATCGACAAACACTGACCAATATCATAAAATCCTGCTCTTATAGATGCAGCTACATCAGCAACTGCCTGAAGCCCAGATGAACATTGTCTGTTCACAGTTCTAATTGGCACAGTTTCTGCACATTACAGCCATCATGTGGATGAATAACAAACCATGACATACTCAAGGATCATTAAATTTTCTAGAAGGGTACATACCAGGGAAGCCAGCATAAAAGGCAGCCATCCTGCATTCACTGGCTCTTTGAGATCCTGGAGCTAACACCGTACCCACAACAATATCCCCAACCTCACTTGGGTTGAGATTGGATTTCTCTATAACCGCCTATAGCAAGGCAATCATCGTTTCAGTCAGAAACAAATAGTTATTTTTATCAGTTGAAGATACAAATAGTTTATGAGATAGTATATAAACAAGCAAAGAAAAAGCTTTTGAATTTCTTTCCACCAAACTTCACTATAACCAAAGCAAAGCGAAAATTACGAAGCTTGTATAACCAACCTTCAAAACAGGTGCAAGAAGATCATCAGCATGAGTATCTTTGAAGCCCCCACGTTTAGCCTTGCAAATTGGAGTCCGATAAGCACTGCAAGACACCAAAATTATTTATATATTTTTAAACTCAAACTTCCTATAAAAGCACAATTAACAAATATCAAAGGCTTGATGTAAATACACAAAATTGAAATGAACTGAGAAGCATCATTTGCAAAACTAAACAACTTACGCTACGATGACCACATCATCTCCAAAGACATTTGTCCTTGCATATGCAGCGCTATCCCCAGCCACACACGCCGATGCCTGATACCCAATACATCCAATACACAAAACTCATTAAAAAAAGAGGAATTGAGACCAAACATACAAAATTGAAACAACCAGTGACTCGAAAAAGAGAGAAAGCAATTGCTTTTCAGCGTTTGAGATATTGAATTGAGCTCGGGTTCAATCGAGATCGGATGTTTGTTATTCAAAGCGACTGAAAGCAAATCTTTAAAATATTTCAATCAAATGAGTAAGAAGAAGAAAGAGAGGCTTACGGAGAGAGAAGAAGAGTCGGTGCCATGAAGAGAAGAGGAAGAAGGTCGAAGGTGGTCGAGCAGAACTCGTTGCCTGTTGAACGCTTTCTCCATTTTGGTGCGTACGTGTGAAACTCAGAAATTGGAAATTGGACGGGACGCTAAGACAAACAAATGAAGAGGGCTTGTGGGTTTATTTATATATATATATATAGAGAGAGAGAGAGAGAGAGAGAGAGAGAGAGAGAGAGAGAGGAGAGAGAGTGTAGGCTGCCTCCGTCCTCGGGCTGGGCGGTTGGATCTGTCTCAGACTTTCAGCTAATACAAACAAAGACGACTCAATTTTACAAAATTATGAAATGGATTTTTCTTCGTTTTTCTTTACCTTATCTTTTTATCTTTTTTTTAGTTTTGTTTTTCGCTTCATGATCAGGCAGGCGTCACCTCTCCAACTTCCAACTAGGCTTTACGCGCGCGTTTCTCTTCCACTCTCGCCTTCCTCGCGTGTTTTCTCCTTTCCAAATTCTTTTAAATTATTAACTATGTTTTTTAATATAAATAATGTATTTTCCTTATGCAAGGAATTTTCGATCAGACCATGACACTGCTATTTATATAATAAAATTATCATTATTATAAGACGTATATATATATATATATTTAATATTAATATAAACTTATTGTTTAACATATTATAACGATATGTGAATCGTTACATTACAAAGTAACTCTAGAATTTGCAATTATTCCATTAACTGCATTTCAGAATTCATGAGTAAGACTGGAATTTGAGAAAACAAGATAATGAAGAGAAAAAACTACTTTCCAAATTAATTATCAAATGAGAGTATTAAAAAAAAGGATGAATGAATGAGTAACATTTAATTCATATTTTTATGTCATTTATAACCATTAGGTTTAATTGAGAAGATAAATTGTCGATGTCCACAATTCATTTTGCATTTTAGAAACATAAGATCATGATTAAAGTGGTGAGTAAATATATTTTCGAAGAAAAAATTAATAAATTTAGTATGTGAAGAAGAAGAAGAAATGAAGCAACTACTGCAATACAATAGCAACACGCGGTTTGGAGGGACGTGCTGTGTTTGCCGTGTAATGTGAAAGCAAAGAGAGACATAGAAATGCGTGCCCGCTTGGGCAAATGGAAGATTGAATTCATTATCATGGCTTGTTTGATAGCAATCCTTCTACAAACAGACAGTAGAAGATAAAGTTATGGCTCATTGCAAATAGTCATCCAAACACGCAGGTAGCCAACCCCCTACCACTCCAAAAATTTCGTGCAAATATCGAGAATAGCCATGGGCAGGGTGACAGTCAAGAATGTCTCTAACAATCTTTATTTGTTATGAATTACTTTTTTTTTCTTTCTTTCTTTCTTTCTTTTATCTTATGTGACAAAAAAGAAAAAAAAAAGGAAACCTATAAGAAAAACTTGGAGAAAGAGAGATTACAATGATAATGATAGTGGGAAAGTTTGGATCTCTTTGATAAGTATTTGAAAACATATAAAATTGAGAGAAGAAGGCTGGAGAGCTCTATGACTTTTCTTTACTTTGAAGTTTATAACTCACTCTCCAAAGCAAAGTCTATCGCTTAATGAAGTCTTTAAAAATCCATGAGATTTTGAGCACTAAAAACTGTGTAGCCCCGTGATTTTTATGGATTTGTTTTTCCCAAAAAACAGGCTTTAAAACTCCTAGTTATAAATACCACAATAGTTTTAAACAGATCGAGAAGCAAGCAAATAAGGGAATAGATTTGAATAGGATTCCGAAAGGGGATGCTGATTTACAATCATCCAAGCATTCCTCCATTACATCTTAAGCTAATTAAGGATCCATTACATTACATGGAGCACATATATGATAGTGATTGATTTTATCTACCCTAGACAACGACAACGACAAGGACAAATATATAAACTATACAACAACCAGTGCGAAAAAAAACTTACAAAACCTCCCCCCACCCCATCCTAAAATGGCTAGCAAAACAGGACGGGCATAACCTAACAAGGTAAGCAACTCAAAGAGATAGAGCAATTTACCAATGCCGCATGACAGCACGAAAGCGTCCATGGACATATTCCGATGCAAACTTAGGTACACTTAAAACCATGGCAGATTGACAAAAATATCACAAAGCCTATGAGAATGATGATCCCCACAACGATCAATTTTATCTTCATATTCTGAAACCACATCTTCCTTTTCATTTTCGTTCCCTGTGTCCTGAAATCTTGGGCCTACAACACAAACACCCCATTGTTTTCAACATATAAAAACGCCATATCAACAGCACAAAAGAGGAAAGGAAATTAAAAGATGATTTTTAAAATAAATATAAAAACTTGGAGAGAAAACCATATCACTCTCCATCACCCAAACCTAATAAACTAAACATAAGTTATGCTTCTTCGACTAACCTGCGAGCGAAGATTATCAGTTTTGTCCACTAACAGCTCAATCTTCTCACCGCGGTCAAGAACCTGCAGAATACATGAATTTCCATGACTAAAAATGGATGACATATTTACCTACTTGGAATCAGAATGAAAAGGAATTGGAATGAGAAATTCAGAATGGGAATTGAGTTGTTCCTATTAGTAATGTTTACCAACTTTCAGGAATCAAAACCACAACCACACCCTTATTCAGAACACCGACCTTCTCAATATTGTCCATCATAACACCCTTGACCTCAGTAACCTGAGCCTTCACTTTTGCAAGCTTGTTGATCTCTTCAGGATGATCCAGACAGTACTTCATGTGATCCTTCAGTTTAGGTCTAAAACATCCATATAAGTGTTAAGCAAAGCATATTCATGAAGAAGAAAAAAAAGGCGAACAATATTCATCGCCATGAAAAAGACATCATAAGATGAATACCCAAACTCTCTGTTCAGTCCATTGGCAACAGCAGTTCCAGCTTTCCCACCAGCATATCTTTTGTTGAAATCGTCCTTGACTCTCTCCAGATAGGCAATTGGAATTTGCCTGCCAGCAGATTCAGATGCAACTACGCAGTAGGCTGCAGAATCCAAAACAAAGACAATTTAAAAACCTATCCTTACAATTTACAAACGAGGATTATCAACTCAAATTGCACAGTTGGAAATTACTTCAATCAAATCAAATGCACAATGTTTTTTTTTTGTTTTTTTTTGTTGATATGTATAATTGACTAAGAAAACTAATACTGCAATTAAAAAAACGCAGCAGCAATCCAACAATCATCTCTTGAATCTTAATCACCCAATCTTGAATGCATACCATGCAACCATATAGTTACAAAATATCTGCTTTAAAAAGAATCAACGCAATCAGCGTTGTCATAATCATAGATACATATACATATGATCTTCATTCCAACAAAAACAAATTACAAAACGCATGGATCAAAGCCAACGATAATGAACAAATCCAAGAGAAGAATCAGACATTGGTAAGAAATGATTTGAAGGGCATGTAAATGCATGGGGGACTCACTGAAGCCGTTTTCGACGAGGTAATTGAAGGTGTGGCCATCGCAATTGTAGGTGAACTTGTTGTTGGAGGAAGGAAGCTTCTGAAGGCATTGAGAGGCAATGGAGGTGAAATTGCCGGTGAACTCTGTGTACTCGGCGAGAATCACACTGCCTCGAGCGACGAAGCTGTAGATCAGAGATTGTTGCCCCATCTCAATTCCAATATAAAAAAACCCTAACCCTAATCCGAATGGGAATGTGAATTTACGCAGAGAGAGAGAGAGAGAGAGAGAGAGACGTTATGGAAGAACGAAAATGCTGAATTTACGCAGGGAGAAAGAGCTATATACTTTTTTCTTTTTCTTTCAAGTGCGTGTGTTTGTTTGTTTGTTTATTTTTTCTTTTCTTTTCTCATTTTTATTTTGAATTTAATTTCGTGGAATGGAATGGAACACGAGATGTGATGAAGTATTATTTTGTGCTTTGGAATTTCACAGTTACACGTAAAGTGTGTCATGTATGAGTTTCTTTATTAAAAAAAAATAGAAATAAATAAATAAATAAAATATTGTTTGAACGGAAATGAAGGGTGCATAGACCAAGGCGGGAAGCCCCCCAAATAAGGCTGTCCTGCTCCTCCGCTTCTCACTGGTAGCGGTCGCAACAAATGTCTCAACCTTCACTCATTTGTAAAAATAGCAAACATTCCATCTTTTTTCTTTTTCCTTTTTAATCTCTCTCCTTTCCTATCCTGTTCCCATTTTTTCAACGAGAATATAGAATATTTGCTTGGTTATATATACAACGAGAAATCACCGAACCAAACCGATCACTAAAATAAATTAATTTGATTTAATTAACTTAAATCAAATAAAACCGGACCGCATCCATCCCTATTTCCCCTTATCATAATTAGATGCATAATTAAAAATGATTTTTGCCCACATTTATCTTGTAATCAATTTGTGTGTATTTGATTTGACAGATGGATGCAACAAAGGAAACCAGAATTTTTAGGGTCAGAAATTAATTAGGAGATTGCTATCTGCTAGAGCTGATGAGGGAGGAGTGAGGCATATGCCGTGAACATTGGAAACTCAGAAAACATGTCTCAAATGGGAGGCAGTCAAATCCCAGTACTTGCTAGTGTTTCATCAAACTTGGCTTCTAAAACTGAACCGCCCTAGATGTATGAGAAGGTAATATTTATTCTTCTACGTCTTTCTCTTATAGATAGAAGTAGAACAACAAGTGCCCTTTCTCTTCTTTTATTTTTGTCATCCTTTTCTCTCTCGAGTTCTTCTTGAATGACATCTCTTTGATTGCGTCCAATTTCTTCGTCACTTGAATGCAGATGTTGCATGTTATTAGCTAGGTTCATGCATCTATAGACTGCAGGCAGGGCAGTTGAGTTACTCTCTTGTTGCATTTTATGTTCCTTTTTTCACTCTCTTGATTACCTCTACTCACCTAGGACCTTGAAATCCAAGTAGCCAAGTTATCATTTTCCTAAATGTTACTAGGAACAGAGACGACGTCCTTTTTCGAATGTTCAAAAGAATTTATGATGTTAAATTAAGGGTTTTACCAAGCGTCAATGGTTCTTCACCCACTAAGAAAGTACAGGTAAAGTAGCAAGGAGAAAAAATAAATGAAGGATTGAAAAGGGTAAGCATCCGAAGAAGAAAAACACAAATGAACTTCCAGCATAATGTGCAAATGAAATATTTGACCCCCTTTCCCTGGAGAGTGGGGAAGAAAAGGGAAAAAGAAACTTAAGTCAGGAAATATAGGATTTTTGTCAAGTCTAAACATCAGAGATTTGTACCTTATATTAATCTTGGAAAATTTATTTACAGAGATTTGTAGGAATAATTATCTAACATTAGTAGCTGTACTTATAATAGACTTATAGTACATTTGTCATGGCACCAAGCAATGGATGCCACCTGAAGTTCGAAAGTTTTTTCTTCGAATTCAACCTGAAAATTCTTGACATTAGTTTGTATAACCTTAATTTTGTTATCATCATATCTGCATGCCTTGACTGTTGAGGTTGACACCATTTGGAGGATTGATTACTATCCAAAGCAAAGATATTATGATTGCAAGCAGCCCTGCCCAGACATATACAATAGTAGGTATCCTTCCTCTCCTTCCCATCAAGCCTTTCATAAATGGGTACATGTGAGCCAACACCCAGAAACTAAAGAAAAGTCCTCCGAGTAGCTTATTCCATTGGGGTATCACTTCATATAAGGTCCTTGAGATTCCGATGACCATTGCAATAATATTGATGATTATGATTGTCAGAGGCATTAAGAACAGACTTGTCCATTTGACAACGTAGAGGTCAGCGTAAATGTCTTCTTCGTCTTCAGCTGTAGACTTGGAGGTTAAGGTGAAGTGAATTTCGACACCGGCTACAACTTTGAGGAGACCCTGGATGACAGCTACAAGGTGAGCGCTTGTTCCACCAATGAGCCAAAATTGCTCATTACGCCACCATTCCTCAAGGCCAATGCCAGACCACCTCACTTCAAGTAGGGAGAGCAGACAGAGACAGATAGTGATGATAAGGAGGTAGATAAGGAAGGGGACACTTAGGCCTGCAACTATGAATTGACCTGTGAAGAGGCAGAGTGCAGGGAGGAAACAGTAAACAACCAGAAAGATGGATGTGAAGGGATAAATGCCGACGTTGAGGTATGCAATACGCTGTAGAAACTTGAGGCGCCGGCATGCAAGAAATGCATTGTTCCTGGAGTAGAAAATTTCCACTGAACCAGTGGCCCATCGGAGCACCTGGTGCAATCTGTCTGTGAGGTTGATAGGTGCAGTGCCACGGAATGCATCACGCTTCGTGATGCAATACACTGATCGCCAACCACGATTGTGCATTCTGTAACCTGTCACCACATCCTCTGTCACTGATCCATAGATCCAACCTATCCTGTCTCCCCATTCGGTCTTGTCCTCGTACCTGTGTGTGCAAACATAAACTAATTAACCCAAATGATCACAATGTTTTGTGAAACAAGGAAGAGTCTACATAACTGGTCTAGAGCTAGAAAAGTGCTTCTTTCAACTGGTTTATATGCATATATAGATTATGTACCACTTACCAGCAGGAAATGACAGCAACTGCTTCAGCAACAGTTGGGGCATCGAGTGGGGGACGTGGTTCTAGCAGAGCGCCGGGAGGGCGGCCATTCTTGACAGAGGAGTGATCAGCAAGAGGACGTCCGTGATACTCAGCAACGCCTATGGAATCAGTGAACATTTGTGAATTTCCAAACTTCTTGGGAAGGCCTAAGTCAGGGTGAGTGGCCAGAGGTTGTTTTTCTGAGTCGGGTAGATCTGGATCAGACTCTAACTGCGCCTCAATCTCATGGTAATTTGGAGCTGGGGCTTTGATCGTCCCAAACATTCCTAAGTACTCATTTGCCCTTGGCGGGTGGAACCCGTACAGTGCAAAACGCCTGAACATGCACCCAGTTCCCACATACACTGGGCCTTGGAGACCATCCAGGGCTCTCATATTTCCTGTTGTTTTACAATTATATCCAGGCAGTGTCATCACTTTCAATTTCAGTTTAGCTATATATCAAATTCAATTAATTAGCCAAAGTCACGCATGCATGATCAAACATTACCATCAAAGAAGACTGTGTTATGATTTGCATAACGGTCAGATGGATCGATCCCTTCAAATCTCTGAGGGAATTGTATGTAGCAAATCCTGTCTCCACCCCGGTCCATCATGAAGCACATTCCTTCCCTTAAAGCCAGAGAGTTATAGATATAATGGTCACAATCCAAGTTAAGTATGAAGGGACCATTAGACAATATTGCTGACGCTCGGACCATGGCATTCATGGCTCCTGCCTTCTTGTTGTGGTCATATCCAGGTCGCTTCTCTCGCGAAACATATGCAAACATTGGGACTCGAATGTCCACCCCTGTGAAGTCTAATTTTTTCTCATCAGGAAAACCCATTACAGCCTCCATCTCTGGGACCTTACTCATTACCTGCATGTATGTTCACGATTATATTTGAGATTCAAACTCTTAGGACTTGTTTTAGAGATATACATACATATATATAGGTTATTGTTATATATCCATCACCTGTAAGATCCCAGCATGATCTCCTTTTTTATGATCGGCGCAAGGTTCGAGCCATGTTCCTGGCCAATGTGTCCCGTCAGCCATCCACGTTGCCTTAGTGACATTGCTTGCCTCACCATCCGCTGGCTCTGCGCCATCTCCTCCTCCACCAATACTTCTCTCCTTGGAAAGCTTCCTTTCATTCATGTCCTCTCTAGAGTTATACATTTCACTTCGCTTGCGGATAACATCAGGAAGACCGTTGATCCTAACTTTAAATTCATCATATTCTCTCTTGATCCAACGGCGATCCTTGACAAAATCAGGCCGCTTCTTGTTCTTGGTGGGGTCAACTTTGCTGTTAAAGTAGCTGTCTGGATTCCTAGGCTCAATTTCATGTTTTCGGCAAAAGGGTACCCAAACCTGCAGTGCATATGAATGTATGTATGTATATTTGGACAATATATAGCTAGAACTAATTAACTGACAGGAATCAAATTAATTCAATTAGCATGACTACTTATTTATGTTTTTTTTTCTTCTTGTGAGGATAGCATGATTATTTTTTGGATAAGAAATTTACTTGCATGACAAGTTTCATGTCATTATTTAATTTTTTACCACCACTAATGAAATTACAATATTGAACCAACCTCAGCAAAGTCAACAGCCTCGGCCATGGCCTCAAATGTGAGAATGGCACCACCATCATCTGAAATATAGCATGAAAGCTTTTCCACGGGATATTGAGCGGCAAGGACGGAAAGAATGGTATTGGCAGTGACAAGAGGTGGTTCCTTCTCAGCGTCGGCAGTGGAGATGAAGACATCAACACCGGGGAGGTCAGAGCGCCCAGTAGGGTTGCTGGGAGAAGGTTGCTCAAACTTGTCATGTAGAGCAGCCAAGTCCGTGGCACGATTTATGGGGTTCTGCTTGGGAAGAATGTCTAAAAGCCATGAGAATGCAAACCAAATCTCACAAACTATGGACATGCCCCATAGCCACATTGCATCCGGGTTTGGATTCTGGACTCGCCATAGTAGGAAAAGGAACAGTACTACCAAACGGATGACCACCAGTAACCTGCATATATGTACAAATTAAATATGCTGGACCTGCTAATGCCTTGGCTCCTCATGGAAATGATTGTTTCTTCTCTTAGTTGGTGGGAAGGAATTCTGTCTATATAGTCGGATCTTTTGGGTATACCCAATTATTACAAAGCCATATTTGGGGAGGGAATCGTAAACGAAACCTGGGATGCTCTTAACCACTTGAGCTACAATTTCGTTACTTTCTTATCTTATATTTTTAATCCCCTTTACTTTGTATCTTTTTGTGAGATTTCATTAATTAATGGACACAATAATTGAATTGTTTGTTAAGGAGCTAGTTATTGATGAAGCAGGTAGGTACCTGTAAGGGCTAAGAATAGCGGGGGGGATTTTAACCTTCCTGGTGAGTGGCTTCCATGGTTTGTCAATAAAATCCTGCATGCTCATTTCGACTTCCGGTCCATACTTGTTCTCTTGCTTCTCTGACCAATATGCGTTTCCAATTCCATACGTTCCTTTGGTCTCAAACAACCAACGATTATGATCAAAGTCCCCAGTTTGGCTTCTCAACAGTATTGATTTGTTATTAGATGAGTTCATCACTGACATTCTCCTATCCGCCTTTGCAGCTTCACTATCACCCCCACCATCATCGTCGCCCCCTCGCCTAGACTCCGCTCCAAACCGTGTTGGCCCATATAGCCCAGGACCATCAGTTTTTGAATCCGAGGCCGTTCCTGCGCCTGATGACCCCGCCATTGGCTGGTTGTCCGGTGTAGGAGGCATCATCACGGTGTAATTGATGTAGTCATTTTCGCCCGAGAATTCCCCGCTCATGTCCAAATCGTCGTCCCGAGACAAGCTCATCACACGCCCACTGGACGTGCGGCGGGCAAATTTGACCCCCTGCGGTGGACGGCCTGCAGATGAGGGTGAGGACGACATTGTTTTCTTTGATGAGTTTGATGAAGTTGCCATATCTGTGCTGTTGATGTTGTGATGCTTTTCCGATTGTATTTTAGCTACAAGACCCAGATGACCACATTTAACATTAACGGATTACTTGTGGCGCACGTAAAAATAACAAGTACGGAATAATTCCATGTCGGGGAGATAGAGGCGAGAAGATGAAATGGAATGGAAAGTATGGAGAAGGAATTGGATATGTTGAATCACTGGTTGAAGGAAAGGCCAATTATGGTTGATAAGTTGAATGGTCCGCAATTTGCTTCTGTTTTTAGCGTTTTTCCCTGCACCGGATGTCACTCCCTTGTTTCAATCTCAATCTCAAAGTTTATCAATACGCGTAACGCGTTTAAGTTTTAACAATGTTCTTTTTTAAATAAATATTTTTTCCCCCTACATTAATTAAGAAAGGGTAACAAGGGACTTGTAGCTCAAGTGGTTAAGAGTATTTACCTCTGCATTCTAGGTCTAACGTTGGATTCCTCATCACCAATATTGCTTGTACAAAAAAAAAATATAAATAAGGTCAAAACTGTAAAGAAACAATCCCACAAATTAAAATTTTGAAAGACTCCCTGCAGTTCTCACCAAGTTCACTAACCGCGTTTTTATCACAAAACAACCCTGAATAGTCAGGGGGAAAACGAAAGAACACTAATATCATCGATGCAATGGTAAAGGTTATTTGTGCCCACAATACACATTACCAATAAAAAAAACACAAATCTTATCATACAAACTAGTAAAAAATACATTAGAATAAACCATTACTAGTTTATCTCTGGGAATTTTAGAAAACTAGGCAAGTTTTGGACAATAATTTCATAGGACACACCAAAAGAAAAGACTGAAGCGCCTACAAGAGGATGAGAAATGGCAAGGCAATGTTACTCCCACTACCTCCTGTGAATTCCTTCACTCTTTGGGCCTAAGCTCAATGCCTTCCACAATGAGGCCGCTCTTCGAGTTGTAATTACTAGTTTCCATTAGACTACACACTACAGTAGCATTATCTTCTTCGGTGACAAACTCACCCATCTCAATCTCAAACCACCCATCGCCTCTGTATCGAGCATGCGGAGGAGCTGTATCTTCATAATTTACAGGGTCTAGGATCACACTATGCTCAACCGCAACTGCGCTATGTTCATAAGCGACACGCAATGTAACAGGAGTTGCTGCAGTCTCTGGATTGTCTTGTGATGAGAGCTGATAGACAAAATAAGCTGCATAGGTTGTTCTTGGGGACAAGTTTTTAGTCTCTATGTATCCCTTGATGTCAAGCCACCATACATAATTGAGCTCAGCCACTTGGGAAAACCTGTCATGTGATTCACATATAACATATTCTTTCTGATGCTTTGGTCATAAGTATCCAATTCCAATAAAAGATTACTTATCCTACAACTCAGGTATGATTTAGCATCACTCAAAAATATAATTGAAGTGATATTTAGTAAGATAATGGTGGAGAGAGAGAGGGAGAGAGAGAATAGAATACCTAGACTCTGGTAGAGATATCCACTGCCAATATTGGGTTGTATCTCCCCATATAACTGAAAGCCCTCTTGCCCCTACCATATAACATTTTTTGCCACTCTGCTTTTCCAGTGCCATGCTCTGTGTCAGAAAAAAAGAAGCTTGGACGATGATCTTGTCATCCATTATTCATAATTAAAGTAAATACTGCTAACATTTTACACAACACTCAGGTAGCCATAGCCATTGATATCATGGATCATCATCAGTCTTTTCATGAATTATCTAAAATTGTCAAACAAAATTTCTTTTTTCTTAAATAAATAAAATAGCAAATTTAGTAAAGCATATCAAAGAATGAGATTTCTACTACATAAATTGCAAAAATCTCCTAGTATCTAAAACCTATGAAATCATTGAATCCAATGGCAATGGGTGATGATGACCCAAGAGAATTCTTGATTCTTTAAGGAAAAGTGATAAATCATAGAAATTTAGTAAAAAAAATGAATGAATGGGGTTTGAGTTAATTACCATGTTACCATTGCCTATGATGACGGGGTGATTGCAAAGATGAAAGTAGAGATCCTTCTTGGACAAGGAGTTTAAAGAACTGGAAATGATTTCCTTATAATCCTGGGGCAGAAATCTCTCCCACACAATATCAGAATCCGCAGCAATTCGAAAGAGATGAGAGACCAGCGATGATCTGCATGCATCCAGAGGGGTTGTGCAGGAAACGATGTGGGAGATACATTCTGCAGGCAACATGCTGATGATACTCATCTCTGCTTCTGCTTCTGCTTCCTTCATTTTCTTATGTCGATCGTCTCTCTTTCCTTCCTTTTCCTCGAGTTGAGCACAATTCCAAGTCAAGTCAACCCACTTAACCGACAAAAACCTTTTTTTTTTTTTTTTTTAATATTTATTTTAATTTTAATCGACGGAACAAATTCACGATCTGCTCTAGCATTGGGGATGTGGCGACACATGTAACTCAAACATTGGGGGAGAATACGCCTTTTTATTTCATTTTTTATAACTTGTCAATGGGGTCTGTATTCATGCCTTTTATTTTATTTTTATTTTTATATAACTTGTCAATGGGGTCTTTAATAAACAATAAATAAACTTGTCAATGAGGTCTAGCCTGAGTTTTCTATAATAAAAAATAGTCAAAATTTACCCAATGCTTTTATAAATGTTTTGGTCCTCCCGATTACTTTTGCAGCTAGTGCTCGTTTGAATTTTATATATATTTTATGAGATGTCCTTACATATAAAATTCTAACTCCGCCACTAATTGACTGGATTGATGTGAAACTGAAGGGCTCAAACATTTGTTGGATACAAATGAAGCGCAATAGGGGACCAAATTGGCAAACTAGAGGGGGCTTCCAAGGCCAAAATTTGTTATTTAAAGTGACTACTAGTGATAAAAGGATAACAAACTCTTTTAATGTTGCGTCTGCCACATGGCGGCCAAACATATGAAGGGAAATTTTTTAACGAAATAATAGTGTAGTCATAAGTTAAGCACTTGACAATAAAATTGGATGAGCAACGAAGATTATTTTGAATGAATGTTAAATGAAATGCAGAGTCTCAGTTAAGCTCAATGCCTTCTACAATGAATCAATCCTTCATTGTTTGGGCCTAAGCTCAATGCCTTCCACAATGATGCCTCTCTTACAGAAACTACTAGTTTCCATTAAACTACACACTACAGTAGCATTATCTTCTTCAGTGACGAACTCACCCATCTCAATCTCAATCCACCCATCAAGTCTGTATCGAGCTTGCGGACCAACTCTACCTTCAAAAGTTAGAGGGTATAGTGTCACACTACGGCGGCCTCCATAAGATAGAGGGTCTAGGATCAGACTATGTTCAACCGCAACTGCGCTTTTTTCATAAGCGACACGCGAAGTAATGGGAAATTTTGGTGTCCATGTAACGTGTTCTGATGTGAGTAGATAGACAAAATACGCTGCATAGGTTGTTCTCGGGGACAAGTTTTTAGTCTCTATGTATCCCTTGATGTCAAGCCAGGATATATAATTGAGCTTAGACACTTGGGAAAACCTGTGATGTCAAGCCAGCATCAAAATGTCAATACAATATTCTATGACTATAAACTCCACTCAGTGATAGTATCATGTCAGGGATTGAAGGTAAGCCAGAGCTACTTTACTTTCTCATAACCATGCTTATGCATATCATGAGGGAGAAGAAATTGTATATCATGGGGATATCACTCTTCTGCTATCCCTATCCAATCACATTCCGCAATGTGGAAAAGTTATCATGCGTGACAAAATATAATTGGTTGAGGATAGCAAAACATACTATCCCCTAGATATACAAGTTTTTCTCATTCTATAACGACATTATATATGTCAAACCCCACAAACTCACTATAAAGGCAAAAAAATCAAACCTTCACAAGGTAAATCACGAAAAAAATAAGTGATATTTAGTAAGATATTGGTGGAGACTGGAGAGAGAATACCTAGACTCTGGTATAGATATCCATTGCCAACATTTTGGCGTATCTTCCAATATAACTGTAAGCTCTCTTGCCCCTAGCATATAACTTCTTTTGCCACTCTGCTTTTGTAATGCCGTGATCTGTGTCAAAGAAAAAGAAGCTAGGATGTTGTCGTCCATTATTCATAATTAACGTAAGTAATACTGTTAATATTTTGCACAACACAGGTAGCCATTGATATCATGGATCAGTCTTTTCATGAATTAACCTAGCTATTCATGCCACACAGTAACCTAGCTAGTATCTAACACCAAATGGTGACCCAAGAGAATCAAGAAATTTAGAAATCATAGAAATTTAGAAAAATGAATGAAAGGGGTCTGAGTTAATTACCATGTTACCATTGCCTCTGATGATGCGGTGTTTGCAAAGATGAAAGTAGAGATCCTTCTTGGACAAGGAGTTGGGAGAAGTGGAAATGATTTCCTTATAATCTTGGTCTTGGGGAAGAAATCTCTCCCACACGATATCAGAATCCGCAGCAATTCGAAAGAGGGAAGAGACCAGGGATGATCTGCACGCATCCAGAGGGGTTGTACAGGAAACGATGTGGGAGATGCACTCTGCAGGCAACGTGCTGATGAAATCCATCTCTGCTTCTGCTTCCTTCCTTTTCCTATGTCGTCGATCGATCCAAGTCTCTTCCCTTCCTCTTCCTGGTGATGTTCTCTTCATATCACACATCATACAAACTCAACTTACTATACTAGGAGATAGTCATCCTCACGCCCTTGCTATTACAATAGACATGCAACAAGCCATTAACCAATCACCCACAATAAAGCCCGCAACTTGGTGTATTGTCTTATGACTCGCTCTAATTCGCTGTATGGGAACTGTAAAGAAAAAACATGCGAAGGTAAACTCTCTTTATAGGCTGTGAAACCCTAAAAATGAACGGGGCCTGTAAATGGATTACATTTGGATTGGATCGACCATTTTATATTTTATAGACTTTTATAAAATCGTAATTGAAAACACCTAAACTTTTAAACTTCTTTCAAATCTTTTAAGATCTAAATTGAATATATCCATTATCATACTTAACTAAACAAATTGGGACAAGATTATTATCGCATTTATTTAAGACTTTTTTTTTTTTCTTTTTTGAGTACAAGCGATAGTCTAAACTAGATAAAGGAGAGAGGATTTTCATTTTCTCACACACGATGCCATGGGAATTCGAAACTAAGACCTCGCAAATCAATGCCGTTTTTCACTGGACTAGATTCCATTAGTGCATTTATTTAAGACGTAGAAAAGATTAAAATCTCATTAGTAACTTCATTATTTTATTTTATTTTATTTTATTTATGTTTCATTCTTTTAGAAAAGAAAATATCACACTCTGCTGCTCAACCGCAACCCGGCCATGTTCTTCGTAAGCAAGACGAAGTGTAACAGGAATTGTTGCAATTTCTTGATCGTAGTCTGATGAGAGCTGATAGACAAAATAAGCTGCATATAGGTTGTTCTGTGATTCGATTCATTCACATATATATATATATATATATATAGTTATATACACATCAAAATGTCAATGCATTCAATCTATGAATCATGCTAGCTTCTTCTGAGGACACTATAAGTATACAATGGAAGATTACTTATATCCTACACCTACAACTCATGTATGAATTAGCATCACTGAAAATACGTAATGGATATTGTGGTAGAGATATCCATTTCCAATATGTCCAACTGCAAGCCTCTTGCCCCTACCATATGACAATTTTGCCACTTTGCTTTTCTAGTACTGCCATGATCTGTTCTGTGTCAAAGAAAAGAAGCCTAGCCATTGATATCATATCATCAGTCTTTTCAGAGTCTCTGTTAACCGATTAAGGTAATGAATAGTTAGATTTTAGTGCAAAGTCCTTCGCGGACATTTCTCTCAAATATTATCTATGCAATGGTAAGCGTTTATTTGTGCCCTGCCCACAATAGATGCTACATACATATTTATACCTACAAAATTATTATATAAAAGAAACCATAACTACTACTTCATCTCTTGGAACTGTCTGAGATCTAGCAAAGTTTTAGACAATAATTTCAAAGGGCACAATAAAAGACGGAAGCTTACTAGAGGATGATAAATGGCAAGGCAACATTACTCCCACTCGTTTATAAAGCTTTCTTCCCCTCCTGTGACTTGTTCATGGAATCAATCCTTCATTGCTTGGGCCTAAGCTCAATGCCTTCCACAATGAGGCCGCTCTTACAGAAACTACTAATTTCCATTAGACCAAACCGCACAGTAGCATTATCTTCTTCAGTGATGAACTCACCCATCTCAATCTCAATCCACCCATCGCCTCTGTATCGAGCTTGTGGAGGAGCTATACCTTCATGAGTTATAGGATCTAGGATCACACTACGCTCATCTGCAGTGCCTTGTTCATAAGCAACACGGAACCTAAAAGGAGTTGTTGCAGTCCGTGGATTGTGTTCTGATGAGAGCTGATAGACAAAATAAGCTGCATAGGCTGTTCGTGGGGACAAATTTTTAGTCTCTATGTACCCCTTGATCTCAAGCCACCACACATAATTGAGCTCAGCCACTTGGGCAAACCTGTGATGCGATTCATTCACATATAAATATGCATCACGTAGTAATAGTAATCATGTCAGGGTTTAGTGGTAGCCATATCCACTTTACTTTCTCTGAACCATGCTTCTCTTCTGAGGACACTATATATGTCGAACCCCACAAACTCACTATGAAGGCAAAAACATCACACCTTCGCAAAAATCTCAACGATATTACATATTCTTTCTGATGAAGGGCCTTTTTTGGTCACAATCTACATTAACCATATTCTTTCTTATGCAGGGTTTGAATTAGCATCACTCAAAAATATAATTGAATTGATAAATAGTAAGATAATGGTGGAGAGAGAGAATCGAATACCTAGACTCTGGTAGAGATATCCATTGCCAATATGGGGGTGTATCTCCCCATATAACTGTAAGCTCTCTTGCCCCTACCATATAGCATTTTTTGCCACTCTGCTTTTCTAGTGCCATGCTCTGTGTCAAAGAAACGAAGATAGGAAGGATGTTGCTTGTCATCCATGGTTCCCAATCATAGTATAATAGCATACCATTAATAATTAGCCATTGATATCATCAGTCAAACTTAGCTATTCATGCCACCCAGTGACACTAATCTCCATAGACAGAAAATCAAGCTTGTTGATGTTCAAATTTCTTTTTTATTTTTGTAAATAAAATAGCAAATTTAGTAAAGCATCTCCAACAATGAGTTTTCTATTACATATAATTGCAAAAATCAAAAGTTCAAAATAATTCAAAAAGGTTTTTTTTTATTCTCTTAAATCAAACACCTTTCCTAGTATCTAAAACCTATTAAATCTTAGAATCCAATGGCAATGGGTGATGATGACCCAAGAGAGTCCTTGATTCTTTAAGGAAAGGTAATAAATCATAGAAATTTAGAAAAAATGAATGAATGGGGTTTGAGTTAATTACCATGTTTCCATTTCCTATGATGATGGGGTGATTGCAAAGATGAAAGTAGAGATCCTTCTTGGACAAGGAGTTTAAAGAACTGGAAATGATTTCCTTATAATCCTGGGGCAGAAATCTCTCCCACACAATATCAGAATCCGCAGCAATTCGAAAGAGATGAGAGACAAGCGATGATCTGCACGCGTCCTGAGGGGTTGTGCAGGAAACGATGTGGGAGATACACTCTGCAGGCAACATGCTGATGATATTCATCTCTGCTTCTGCTTCCTTCATTTTCTTATGTCGATCGTCTCTCTTTCCTCCCTCTTCCTCATCTTCTCTTGATATCTCAGATCATTTGTTGCTTTCAGGTGTGTAGGTCCCTTCATAGTGCAGGGAATATTCTTTGCCGCAAGTTTAGAAATTTGGGAGAGACAATTTTCACTCGCATCAAACATGAATAATACTATTTTAATATTCCCAATCAACAACGCTATAACATGCATGATAACATTTTCACGTGATATAGCATTAATGATTTTTTTTTGGTCTAATTAATGGTCGGAAATAACAAAATAGTATTATCCCCATTGTAGGGCCGGGTGTGAAGACAACTAGGAAAACGAATCATTTAATGATTTGAGCATTGCAAGGAATAAACATATGAGAGATGTTAGAATACCTTTCAGATTTCAAGATGAGTGTATTTGATGACATGTTCTCTAATTCGTAATCGAAATTAGTATAAGGAGTTGAATTTTGATCATATATTACTCATGTGTTTACTTCACATAAAGAAATGAAATTACAATAGGGCCCACACTAAATTAGGTTGAGGTGTGCAAGATCCAATCCAATTCAATTCAATCTAATTTTAATAAGCTTAAGTGATTTGGCTAATTGGATTGGATCCCTTAAATTTTCAAAACCGACATGACTGGATCGGATGATGGATTTGCTTGTGAGAATCTAATCCAATCTAGTTAGTGCCCGTTTGGCATTGCTTATTTTGGGTGATAAGTGATTTTTAAAAAAAATTGGGAAGCCCAGCCCGTTTGGTAAACTACGAGAAAATCACTTATTGTTAAAAATTGTTGTGAGAGAAAGCTATAAGGGAAAGCAGCTAATGAGGTGCTTTCATTTTCTGATTATGCATGAATCATTTTCAAAGAGACGTTGGGTTTAATGATTATATAGCAATTATTTTTTGATTATATTGAAATTAGTACCAACAACACTTTTAACAAAAAGTTTACCAAACACCAAACTGCTTTATCTCGCAGCTGGTTTTCTCACAATAAATCTGACACGATTATTTTCACAGCACAGCAATGCCAAACTGGCCCTTAGTTCATGCTTCTTTTGCTTATAATTCAAAAAGTTATGAACATTTTAAGTCATTTAATGGAGTTTTATGCTTAATATTCCATAGAATCAAAACTTTTCACTAGCATTACATTTACATTTTACATTTAAGTCTATTAAAATGTTTGATTAGGATAACATAATAATAAAATGTTTTATATTTCATTATTCTCTTTTTTAATTATTAAAACCGATCATCCAATCCAATATCAATTCGATCGGATCAAATTTGGATTTAAACCTCTAATTCAATCGGATTGGATTGAAAAAATCATAATCCAATTTATTTCGAATTGAATGCGGACTGGATAAATTACATTGGTTTCAAACTGGTGTACAAAATAAATTGAGAAAATGTAAATTGTAATGAGGGGTATTTTGGAATTTGAAAAGTACAATAAATCATATTTTATTAGGTCACATGCTGAATTGGGTCCTTGTCATAAGGTTTTACATATACAAATCTTATTAGGCCTAGCTCAATACATTCCACAATGAGGCCGTTGTTACTAGTTTCCATCACACTACACTCTAGAGTGGGATTATGCCCTTCATTGAAGAAGTGACCCATCTCAATCTCCATCTACCCATCTCCTCAGTCTCGAGCTCCTGGAGGCATACCTTGTGGAGGGTCGAAGATCACACGATGCACACCCAGCACTATGCCTTGATCATGTTGGCGAGATATCCTAGCCCTATTAGGATATTTCCTTCTTATTCTATTAGGATTTTATTTATTTCCTTTTGTATAGATATTATGTAATTAGGACTTTTCTTATTTCATAGTATAACCTTACTAGGGTGGTAACCTTGTATTATAAATACCTCCTTTCGGAGAATGAAATATATCCGAAAATATTCTACCCATATTGTTTGACTTGGTATCAGAGAGGGTTTATTGACTGGACCTGAATTACTGGGCCTTTACCCTTACCCCTTATGCAACATGTAGTGTTCACATGTTTGGCTTGAATGT